AAGAATCAAGATTCCAATGAAGTAAATTTTACATAAACTCTTTGTAGATTTAGTGTACTGATGAAAATCTCAACAGAGATTTTTACAGAACTGGGCAAGTTGATTTCCCTCAAATATTTAAGAAACTGGAAGAATCAAAACACATGGAAAGTAACAATGAGGTAGAGTGACTTGCTCTACCAGTTATCAAGTTCCATCATAAAACTGTAATAACCAAGATAGTATAAGGATAGGAAATTTGACTGTTATAGTTCAGATATGGTTTGAATGTATTCCCCAAAAGTTCACATGCTGGAAGCTTGGTCCCCAGTGTGGTGATGTTGAGGTGGTTAAACTTGTTAGACCTGGGGCCTAATGGGCAGTGGCTAGGTCACTGGGGGACTTCAGATAGCTCTTTTAAGAGCAAATTATTGGGGCTGGTGCTGTGGCACAATGGGTAAAACTGCCACCTGCAGGGCCAGCATCCCTTATGGGCACCAGTTCGAGTCCCAGCTGCTTCACTTCCCATCCAGCTCCCTGCTAACGTGCATTGGAAAGCAGCAGAGGGTGGGCCAAGTCCTTGGGCCCCTGTACCCACATGGTATACCTGGAAGAAGCTCCTGGCTCCTAGCTTTAGACCAACCCAGCTCAGGCTGTTATGGCCATTTGGGCAGTGAACCGGTGGATGGAAGCTCGCTCGTTCTCTCTCTCTCTCTCTCTGTAATTCTGCCTTTCAAATAAATAAATAAAATCTTTTAAAAACACTGTCCCTCATCATGAGATCCTCACCAAAGCTAAGTAAAAGTCAGCAGCAGGCTTTTGTGCCAACAAAAATTGTGAAGTGAATGAATCTCCTTTCTCTGTAAAGCACCCAGCTTCAACTATTTTGTGATAGTAAAGAAAAGTTCAGAAAAATGCTGACAAAATCGAAGAAATACAGAATTTATCTTACAAAAGAGCATACATCATAGATCAGTGCAGAAAGGTTAGACTTTTCAGGAAAGGCTCTAGATTGATTGGTTAGCACACTGCAAAGAACTAAATGTAACCTGTATTTCCCAAAAAGTACAGAAATGTTCTCAAGGTACATAAAAACTATTGTGTTTGAAATACAAAACTGTAAGACTTCCAAAAGGCAACAAAGGACTCTCCCTGTAGGAGTGTGGGAGAGCAAATGACTTCTTAAGCAAGGCAAGACAAAAGTGAAATTCATTCCAAAGAAGCAGAGACTTATGAGGAATCAACTCATATACTTGTGGCAGCTGACAAATCCCAAAGCTCACATGGGAAGGGACCAATTGAAGACATTGTCGTGTGCAGTGAAATCACCAGAGGAGAGTAGGGAGAGCTAGTTTTACTGAACGCACTGCAAGGAAACAGCAGGCAGGTAGGCAGCTCAGATAAGACATGACAACTGCTGCCAAGGTGGACCATTGTCTGATGAGCAGACATATAGCAGCAGTCCGTATTTAGTCAGAGTGACTGCTGTCAGATGCTCCCAAGGGAGCAGTAGACTGAACATCAGAGGCTGGCTGTTACAATAATGACTACAATCCAAGAGGCATACCCGTCATGCTGGTATTTCCTCGGTTAGGAAGTTTCCTAGGGCCCAGGAGGATTTCCCAGTAGGTGATCTGCATCTAGGGGTGGAGCTGGGGAGTCTCTATCCACCCCTTTATCTTAAGGAACTCCACCAAATGCCCTGGGCCCACCCTTCATACAGTCTACAAGCTGGAGGCTCAGAAGAGCTTACGGTGTAGTTGCCATTCTACTCCATAAGCATGAGGAGCAGGAAAGTGGATGGTAAAGTTCTGTTCTGAATTTGGGCAGTTCTGAGACTCAGAAATTTCCTTAGTCCACGTTTCCAGATCAAGTCAAAAGGCAGGAAAGAACCAATGGCCTCATTCAAGGCAGCTGGCAGAAGGAATTCCCTCCTGCTCACAGGACAGTCAGCTGGAGTCCTATTGAGGCCCTCAACTGAATGAATGGGGCCCACCCACTACCATGCTGCCAGTTCAAATGCTAATGTCATCCAGAAACACCCTCAAAGACACACCCACAATAGTGTTTGGCCAAATGTCTGGGCACCTTGTGGCCTGGTCACATTGACACATAAAATTAACCATCACACTAATCATAAAGGAAAAGTTTGATAAATTCAGCCACAATAGAATTAGGAACTTCTGTTCATCCAAAAATACCAAAAAACAATTTACATAGCAAGCCACAAACTAGGAAAGGACAATTGCAACACAAGTGATTGTCTTAGTCACCATGGGCTACTACAGCAGAAAACCACAGACTGGGTGGCCTCAGTAGCAAACATTTATTTCTCACAGTTCTGGAGGCCAAGAAATCCAAGATGAAGGTGCTAGCATGCTCAGTGTCTGGTGAGGACACTGCTTGGCAAACCTTGCCTTCTTGTTGTACAACACACAGGGCGAGCGCTAGACTCTTCCAAGGATGCTAGCCCACCATGGGAGTGACAGTCATGACCTCACCTCAACCCAATTATCTCCCCCAAACTCTATCTCCTAATACCATCCCACTAGGGAACAGAGTTTCAACATATTAATTTTGGGGAAACACAAACATGCAGTCCACAACAGTAACCAAGGAAAGATTAATATCTACACAATGTAAACAACCCCTATGACTCAACCTCAATCATAATCAAAGAAATGAAATTAAAACCCAAAAGAGATAGCATGTCACACCCACAAGACTGGTAAAACAACACCAAGTGTTGGTAAGGATACAGAACAACTCTTAGGCACTTTTGTGGGAGGATAAATTGTCAAAAAGTATTTTAGAAAATGATGTGGCGTTGCCTAGTCAATTTGAATGTGCACAGACCCTACAATCTTGCCATTCCACTCTTAGGAATATATCCTAAAAACCTAGAGAAACTCATCGTTACCCAACAAATCTTTACAGAAATTCTCTCATAGATCAGTAACATTCATAATAGCCAAAATCTGGATATAATTCAAACTTCCATCAGCATTAAAAGACTACATCAATTGTGGCATATACATTTAATGGAATATTATACAGCAGTGAAAACAAACTGCTACATGTATCGACACAATATTGGGCACTGAGTAACTGAAGAATGTAATAGTAGCAGTAATAATAATAAAATCTATGTTACCAAGTGCTCATCTGGGCACCATACATATAATCTAACCCCATAGCAATGCTGTGTGGTACATACAATCATTGTTTCCATTTTACAGACGACAAAAAATTAGTGCACACCCTAGTAGTGTACTGAAGCAGGACCTCAAACCAAGGGAATTTTTATGCAGAGTCCATTGGGTCAAATTAAGAATGTTCAAAAACTGGCCTAAGTAAGCAGTGTATTTGGGGCTACACATGCACATCTCTGTTCATCACAATAAGAAGGAAGACATAAAAATGATTCATACGAAATTATTTTTCCAGGAATGACTGAGGAAAGGATATTTTGGTAATTTTCAAAGTCCTGGAATTATTTTTTCTTAAACTGAATGATGGGCCTGTGGTTGTTTACTTGATTATAATTCTTTAATGTGCATCTATACTCTGGAGTACTGGCATACTCCATGCTATTGTCAAGTGAGTTTTCCTCCCACTCCTCTCCTTTCCTCTCAAATTTAGGCACAATTCCTCCTTAGTATCTGCCATTGAAACTGAAAGCCAGGAGTTTTCTTTCTTATCACATCCCTTCTCCACAGAAGTGGGTCAGTATGACCTTGTCCACAAATGGGGTTAGGCAAAAAGCAAAAACAGAAAAACATGGAGGGAATGTGACTTAATATTTATTATAAATTTTATTTTTAATGGACAAACATTGGATATGATGTTTTCATACATGTATAAATTGTGGGATGATCAAATCAGGCTAATTACTATATTCATCACATGGATTGTGATGAGAACATTTAAAATTCACTCTTCAAAAATTATATCATCACAGAGAAAGCAAATGCAGGAGTGGAGGAAAAAATAAGGTAATGTAAGGGGAAAAGAGAAGTAAAGATAGAGATGGAGATAAAGTGACACAATAGAGAAGAACAGGAAACAAAAGAGAAAAAGGAAGATCAGCCAGTAATTTTCTGAGTGTCCTGCATAGTTTACCTATAAAAACAAAACTGAACTACTTAATTCCACTAGGCCGTGGATGAGGTCAACTGTCATTGTCTGCTAGGCGTGGTCTAGTTTACATCCAATGATCCAGTGCTCTATAATGAAATGATTAGTTTCTACCTTCACTTTATTAGTCATCTCCGCCCTAATACATCAATACTTAAAATAGTCATTTGGCATCAAATGCAAAACAAAAATTCAAAGAAATCAAAAGATGAGTTTGAATCAGTGTATTTACATATGTATTATCTGTGCAATAAATAAATAAATTGCACAGATAATACATATGTAAATACACTGATTCAAACTCATCTTTTGATTTCTTTGAAAGGCAGAGAGACAGAGGGAGAGAAACAGGGAGACATCTTCCATCTGCTGGTTCATTCCCTAAATGGACATAACAGCCTGGAGCTAGGCCAAACCAAAGCCAGGAGCCAGGAGCTTCTTCCAGATCTTCCACATGGGCCCGGGGCCCAAGCCCTCGGCCATCTTCTGCTGCTTTCCCAGACCAGAGCAGAGAGCTGGATAGGAAGTGGAGCAGCCAGAATTTGAAACTGCACCCATCTGGATGCTGGGGCCTTGGCCTAATAGGAAATCTAGATATGTCTTAAAGAGAACAATAAAGATCCAAGAAGACACGACTTTGCTGAGTTGTTTTGACAAGACTCCTCTGCCCCGGACTGCTAAGCTATGTTGTTTACTGTCTAATATTAGGTGTCCTGGAGAAGAAAAGTTTAAAATGTGAGTAAGGTCTTGCTTTTAGAGGCAATTTTAATGCTTAATGAATATAATTTTGAGACAAATAAAGATATGGTACTAATCACCAGCAAAATGACAATAAATTTAAAGGACAGGGACATTAGTAAATATCTACTCATTGTGAAACTTACCTGATTTTCCTTATAAAAAATGTGTTTCTCCCCTGCAAGATATAGGCACCAGCAAAGACTTCTTGGAAAAGACCCCGGAAGCACAGGCAGTCAAAACCAAAATTAACAATTGGGATTGCATCAAATTGAGAAGTTTCTGTACTGCAAAAGAAACAGGAGAGTGAAGAGGCAACCGACAGAATGGGAAAAAATATTTGCAAACTATGCAACCGATAAATGGTTAATAACCAAAATCTACAAAGAAATCAAGAAACTCCACAACAACAAAACAAACAACCCACTTAAGAGATGGGCCAAGGACCTCAATAGACATTTTTCAAAAGAGGAAACCCAAATGGCCAAAAGGCACATGAAAAAATGTTCAAGATCACTAGCAATCAGGGAAATGCAAATCAAAACCACAATGAGGTTTCACTTCACCCCGGTCAGAATGGCTCACATTCAGAAATCTAACAACAACAGATGCTGGCAAGGACGTGGGGAAAAGGGACACTAACCCACTGTTGGTGGGAATGCAAACTGGTCAAGCCAGTATGGAAGTCAGTCTGGAGATTCCTCAGAAACCTGAAGATAACCCTACCATACAACCCAGTCATCCCACTCCTTGGAATTTACCCAAAGGAAATTAAATTGGCAAACAAAAAAGCTGTCTGCACCCTAATGTTTACTGCAGCTCAATTCACAATAGCTAAGACCTGGAATCAACCTAAATGTCCATCAACAGTAGATTGGATAAAGAAATTATGGGACATATACTCTATAGAATACTATACAGCAGTCAGAAACAATGAAATCTGGTCATCTGCAACAAAATGGAGGAATCTGGAACACATCATGCTGAGTGAAATAAGCCAGTCCCAAAGGGACAAATATCATATGTTCTCCCTGGTCAGTGACAACTAACCAAGCACCAAAAAGTAAACCTGCTGAAGTGAAATGGACACTATGAGAAACCATGACTTGATCAGACCTTGTCCTGACTGTCGAGGAATAACTTAATATTTTATCCCTTTTAGTATTTTTATGTCCTACTTAATACTATTGGTTGAACTCTGTGGTTAACACACAATTATTCTTGGGTGTTTGGATTTAGCTGAAGAGTGGGAATAAGAGAGGGAGGACAATTTGGGAAATGCTCAATCGGACTTGCCCCAAATGGTGCAGTTAGAAACGTGCCAGGGGATTCCAATACAATCCCATCAAGGTGGCATGTACCAATGCCATCTCACTAGTCCAAGTGATCAATTTCAATTCACAATTGATCACACTGATAGGTCTAAGAGTCAGAGGGATCACACAACCAAGACTAGTGTTTGCTAATACTAACTGATAGAATCAAAAAGGGAGAGAACAATCCAACATGGGAAGTTGGACACAGCAGACTCATAAAATGGCAGATGCCCTAAATAGCACTCTGGCCTCAGAATCAGCCCTTAAAGCTTTCGGATCTGACTGAAGAGCCCATGAGATTATTTTAGACATGGAAAGCCAAGACACTCTGGCAAAAAAAAAACTAAATGATAGATCTCTGCAAGTGAGATCCCAGTAGAAAGAACAGGGCCATCAAAGAAGGAGATACCTTTCTCTGAAGGGAGGAGGGAACTTCCACTTTGACTATATGACCTTGTCTGAATAAGATCGAAGTCGACGAAGTCAAAAGGCTTCCATAGCCTTGGCAACTCATGACTAGAGCCTAGGGAGATTTCTGACGCCATAAACAAGAGTGTCAAATTGTTAAGTCAACAACAGGGTCACTGTGTACTTACTTTTCATGTGGGATCTGTCCTTAATGTATTGTCCAATGTGAAGTAATGCCATAACTAGTAATGAAACAGTATTTTACACTTTATGTTCTGTGTGGGTGCAAACTGATGAAATCTTTACTTAATATATACTAAACTGATCCTTTGTATATAAGGATAATTGAAAATGAATCTTGATGTGTATGGAATGGGAGAGGGAGCGGGAGATGGGAGGGGTGCAAGTGGGAGGGAAGTTATGGGGGGAAGCCATTGTAATCCATAAACTGTACTTTGGAAATTTATATTTACTAAATAAAAGTTTAAAAAATGTGTTTCTCTTATATGTACACAATTTAATTAATAAAATTAAATGTTATACCTTTATTATGTTTCTCTACAAAGAAGCCATTTTTAAAATGGATTAGGTTTTCTATTAAAGGCTAGAAAATTATTTAAACTTATTTTTGTTTTGTTTTTTTTCCCAGAAACCTTTTATTGATGGTATACAAACTTCGTGCATTTCATAAATACAACTTTAGGAACAGAGTGATAGCGATTCTTCCCACTGTACCCACTCTCCCAGCCCAGCCCTACTCCCAACCTTCTTCCTCTTCCTTTTGCAGTTCCCATTCTTATTTTTTACTAAGATCTATTTTCGATTAACTTTATACACAGAAGATTAACTAAAGATCTCAACAAACAGTATTAAAAACCTGTTCCTCAACAGTGTTTTGACTTCTCTTCTGGCTTCTCCTGTGACCCACTGTTCATGCAGGAGCGTGTTGCTGAGGCTCCATGGTTTGATATGCTCTAGACACTCTCACGTTGTTGATCTCCAGCTTCACTCCACTGTGGTCAGAGAAGATGCATGGTATGATTTCAACTCCTTTGAATCTGCTGAGACTTGCTTTATGGCCTGGCTTGTGCTCTATCCTAGATAAAGTTCCATGCAATGGTGAGAAGTTCTGCAACTGTAGCACAAGCACCCAGCCCCCGGTCAATTCCCCCAGCCAGATTCAGGTGTCGCCTCCTGGCTGGTAGCTGGGGGCATGGACACTAACTGGCACAGCTGTTACATATGTCCAAATGGGACCTGCCCAATCTCTGCTAGTTACAGGACACTGGTGCCAGGTGGTCAGGGAGAGAGAAATGTGCCCCCTTTTTTCCTCTAGTTTGGCAGGTATACTGTCTCCCACAGGGCTCCAAGCCAGACTCATGCCAGGCTCCTCCCACAGTTTTATCGCCAGTGGCTTGAGCTGCTTCTGACTGGTCTCACCTCACTCTCCAAAGCTGGTGCTGAGGCTCTCAGATGTTGTGGTCCTGAGTTGTGCATGTCCACACCTCCATGTAGACCCACCGCGTCCCTCTAATTTGTGCGGAGTTTCCTCTACCATCCTTCTCCCTAACTCTTCCCTGAGATTGCAGTCTCTCCACACTGTTTTAAGTACCTTCCCCTAGACTAGAGCGTTAAGCTCCCTCCTTATTCCACCATCTTGGTGCCTCCTAAACTTTTTTACATAAGTATTGATATCAACTTCAACATACTAATCAATCTCTCTGTGGGAGAAAATCAGAAATGTGTTTGCCCCTAGAAATACCTAGATGAATATATTATTTCCTTAAAACTCTGTACCCTGAAAAAAGGTATTCCTTGGACACCTAAGGCAAGTTAATGAATTATGACACCTCAGGCCCTGATAACACTAGATAGTATATTTTTCATGTTAAACATTAGAGGATATCCACATGCAGAAATTAAATCCCTATCTTTCACCCATTATAAAAGTCAATTCAAAATGGATTAAAGATCTAAATATGATACACGAAACTGAAATTTTTGCAAGAGCACATAGAGGAAACATTTTAGGAACTTGTAAATTGGCAAGGATTTTTTTTAACAAAAAACAAAAGCAAAAATAAGATAAATGGGATTTCACCAAACTAAAGAGCTTTGGCACAACAAAGGAAACAATACAGTGAAGAGACAATCTACAGAAAGGAAGAAACTGTGTAGAGGCCAGCCTTATGGTGTCATAAGTACAGCTGTCACCTGTGTTGCCAGCATCCCACATGGGCACCAATTTGGGTCCCAGCTGTTCCACTTCCCACCCAGCTCCCTACCAGTGGCCTGAAAAAAAGCAGAGGATGGCCTAAGTGTTTGGGCCCCTGCTACCCACATGAGAGATGCAGATGAAGTTCCTGGCTCCTGACTTCAGCCTGGTCCAGCCCTAGACCTTGCAGCCATCTGGGGACGCAATCAGCAGATGGAAGATCTCTCTCTCTCTCCCTCTCTCTCTCACTCTGTCTTTCAAATAAATAAATCTTTTTTTAAAAAAAGGAAAATATGGGCCACCTATACTTTGGACCAGGCATTAACATCCTGAATATATAAGGAACTCAACTCAATAGCATATATATAATATACATATATTATATATATGAAACTAAAGGAACTCCGTAGCAAAATTAAATCCAATTTAAAAATGTGCAGTAAATTTAAACAAATATTTCTGAAAAGGAGACATAAAAATGCCCAACAGGTACATGAAAAAAATATTTACAATACTAATCATCAAGGGAATGCAAATGAAAACCATAATAAGACACCACCTCACTCCAGTGAGATTATTACCAAAATGACAAAAGGTAACAAGTATTGATGTGATGTGGAGAAACGGGAACCCTTGTACACTACTGGTGGAAATGTAAACTAGTATAGTTATTGTGGAAGCTAGTAGGAGGGTCCTCAAAAAATGAAAGAACTATCATAAATTCCAGCAATTCCACTACTGGGTATATACCCCAGGGAAACAAAATCAATCTCTGGAATAGACTTTTACAGTTTCATGTTTATTGCAGCACTATTCAAAATTGCCAAGAAATGGAAATGGTCTGACTACTGACGATTGTACTAAAAAACTGTGTGTGCACACAATGGAATACTACTCCATCGTAAAAAAGGATGAAATCTTGTCACTTGCAACAGCATGAATGGAACTGGGTGTCATTATGCTAGGTAAAATAAGCCAAGCACAGAAAGATAATTATCAAATAATAATCTCATAATAATCTCGCTCATATATGAGTCTAAAAAAAGTGATCTCACAGAACTTGAAAGTATAATAGGCATCACCAGAGGTGCAGTGGGTTTTGGGGAAGGGGAGAAAGAAAGGATAGGAAAAGGTTTATTAGCAAGTATTAAGTTGTAGCTATATGGGAATAAGAAATTCTGGGGTACCAATGCATACTGGGGTTACTAGTAATGTTATTGTATGGTATATTTCTCTATTTAAAAACCTAAAAGATAGGATTTAAGATGTTTTAACTACGGATAAACATGAGAAGGGCTCCAAGATGGCAGAATAGGGAGGGAGCTTACTGATAGTCCAGGAAAGGATAGTTTAATAAAAGTGGAGATACTGTTGTCTCAGGGAAGAATTAGGGAAAAAACTGCAGAGGAAACTCTTCCGGAATTAGAGGGACATGGTGGACCTACACGGAGGGCACGGGCGCCCATGGCTCGGGAGCCCAGCTCCTGAGAGAGTTTCCGCTCCAGGGCTGGAAAGGGGGGTGAGGCGTAACAGTAGTAGCCCAAAACACTGGAGGAAAAGCAGCAGGAAGAGCCTAGAGGGAACGAGGCTGGAAGTCCCATGAAGGAAAGTACACCAGCCTAAATAGAGGAGAAAAAAATAAAAGGGACTGGTACAGACATGATTCTCTCCCTCTACACACCTTACAAAGGGGTGCGTGACAATGGAGCAGGCGTCATTTTGGACATATGTAACAGCTGCGCCAGCTCAGGGCTGCACCTGCCCTCAGCCAAGCAGAAAAACCTGACTCTGATGGGGAGAAATACTAGGAGACTAAGACCTTGTGAATGTGTGGAGCTTATGAACTGGGACTGGGAAGAAACAAAACAAAACAAAACAAAAAAAAAACTGTGGGTGTGTGGGAGAACCCACGGTATGGCTGAGACATGAGTAGTCTCAGTGAGAGACATTGCAGGGGAATCTGGGCTTACACTGAGGACTGCACATATCCTTTGTGTGGTCCTTGGGAGAGAGCAGACAAACATACCCACTGGGGCTAGTGCTCAGGCACTGATTGCCATCAAGGAGAAGAGTGCAGCGGAGCAGAATTACCTCCCTTCTGAGTAACAGAAAATAAGAGAGAGACAGAGAGAGAGGGAGAGAGAGAGAGAAGATTTACCATGCCAAACCTGGGTGTGTCACCTTTGGCACACCCTTAACCCTGAAGAACTGAACAGAGCTCTATGGCCACACCCACCACAAACCTCTAGAGATTCACCAAAAGCAGACAGTCCACTTAATCTAGAGTCACAGTATAATGAGACAAGCCACCAGAGTGAAAAAAAAAAAAAGAAGAAACCAAAGAATGTCTCCACTATCACAAACAACAAACACAGAAACCGAGGAAACAAGAAAAAGGAAGACAACATGATGCTACCAAATGAACATGACACTCCAATACAAGATTTTGAAGATGAAGAGATAGAAGAAATGCAAGATACGAACTTCAAAAAATTTATAATAAGAACATTTAGAAGTTCTCAAAAACAAATTCATGAACTACAGAAATCCATACAGGACAGAAAATCTCTCTCATGAAAATGAAATCTTAAGGAGGAATCAAAATGAAATGAGGAACTTACTTAGGAGAAAATGAAACTGAGATATTGAAGAGAAATCAAAATGAAATGCAGAATTCAATAGAACAAATGAAAAACACATTTGAGAGCCTTAAAAACAGAATCAGTGAGGTAGAAGAGAGAATATCAGACTTAGAAGACAGAGCATAGGAAAGTATACAGTCAAACCAAAGAAAAGAAGAGGAAATTAGAAATCTAAAAAATATTGTTGGGAATCTACAGGATACTATAACAAACCCAACATTTGGGTTCTAGGAGTTCCTGAAGGCATGGAGAAAGAGAAATGATTAGAAGGCCTTTTTAGTGAGATACTAGCAGAAAATTTCCCAGGTTTGGAGAAGGAAAGAGACTTCCAAGTACAGGGAGCACATAGAACCCCTAATAAACATGACCAAAAGAGATCCTCACCACGACACGTTGTAATTAAACTCACCACAGTGAAACATAAAGAAAATATTCTAAAATGTGCTAGAGAGAAACATCAGATTACTCTCAGAGGATGAGGATCTCCAATCAGACTCACAGCAGACTTCTAATTAGAAACCCTACAGGCTAGGAGGGAATGGCAAGATATAGCCCAAGTACTAAGAGAAAAAAACTGCCAGCCCAGAATATTATATCCTGCAAAGCTTTCATTTGTGAATGAAGGTCAAATAAAGACCTTTCATAGCAAACAGAAATTGAAAGAATTCGTCACCACTCGTCCAGCCCTGCAAAAGATGCTTGAAGATGTGTTACACACAGAAACACAGAAACAGGGACATCAATATGAAAGAAGGTAAAGGAAGAAAATCTCTCAGTAAAAGATCACAGGAAATTCAAAGCATATATTAGAAATATCTTTGGAAAAATGGCAGGGCAAAGTCACTATTTATCAATAGTCACATTGAATGTAAATGGCCTCAACTCTCCAATTAAAAGACACAGACTGTCTGAATGGATTAAAAACCAAAACCCATCTATTTGCTGCTTACAAGAAACACATCTTTCCAACAAAGATGCATGCAGATTGAAAGTGAAAGGTTGGAAAAAGATATTCCATGCCATCAGAAACCAAAAAAAGAGTTGGTGTAGCCTCCTTAATATCAGACAAAATAAACTTTAACACTAAAACTGTTAAGAGAGACAAAGAGGGGCACTATATAATGATTAAGGGATCAATTCAACAGTAAGATGTAACTATTATAAACGTATATGCACCTAATTACAGGGCACCAGATTATTTAAAATATATGTTAAGGAACTTAAAGGGAGACTTAGACTCCAATACAATAGTATTGAGGGACTTCAATACTCCACTTTTAGCAATAGACAGATCAACCAGACAGAAGAACAACAAGGAAATAGCAGATTTAATTGACACTGTAGTCCAAATGGATCTAACAGGTATCTATAGAACTTTTCATCCTAAACTTAAAGCATACACACTCTTCTCAGCAATATATGGAACCTACTCTAGGAATGACCACATACTCGGCTATAAGGCAAGTCTTAGAAAATTCAAAAGAATCGAAATCATACCATGCAGCTTCTCAGACCACAGTGGAATGAAGCTGGAAATTAGCAACTCAGGAATCCCTAGCATGTATGCAAACACATGGAGACTGAACAACACACTCCTGAATGAACACTGGGTCATAGAAGAAATAAAAAGATAAATCAAAAACTTTCTGGAAGTAAATGAGGATAACAACACAAAAACTTATGGGATACAGAAAAAGCAGTGTTGAGAGGAAAATTTATAGCAACAGGTGCCTGCATAAAGAAACTGGAAAGGCACCAAATGAGCTATCAATGCATCTCAAGGATCTAGAAAAAATACAGCAAACAAGACCCAAATCTAGTAGAAGAGAAATCATTAAAATCAGAGAAGAAATCAACAGAATTAAATCCAAAAAAAATTACAAAAGATCAGCAAAACACCAGAAATCAATCCAAACATCTACAGCCAACTTATATTTGATCAAGGATCTCAAACCAATTCCTGGAGCAAGGACAGTCTATTCAACAAATGGTGCTGGGAAAACTGGATTTCCACATGCAGAAGCATGAAGCAAGACCCCTACCTTACACCTTACACAAAAATCCACTCAACGTGGATTAAAGATCTAAATCTACAACCTAACAACATCAAATTATTAGAGAACATCAGAGAAACACTGCAACATATAAGCACAAAGTCTTCTTGGAAAAGACCCTGGAAGCACAGGCAGTCAAAGCCAAAATCAACTATTAGGATTGCATCAAATTGAGAAGTTTATGTACTGCAAAAGAAATAGTCAGGAAAGTGAAGAAGCAACCAACAGGGTGGGAAAAAATATTTGCAAACTATGCAACAGATAAAGGATTAACAACCAAAATCTACAAAGATATCAAGAAACTCCACAACAACAAAACAAACAAACCATTTAAGTAGATGGGCCAAGGACTTCAATAGACATTTTTCAAAAGAGGAAATCCAAATGGCCCGCAGACACATGAAAAAATGTTCAGGATGACTAGCAATCAGGGAAATACAAATCAAAACCACAATAAGGTTTTACTTCATCCTTGTCACTCCCCCTCTTCGTGGAGGAGCAACACAGAACCCTGCGCTGTTCTTCTGTCTGCTCGGCCCTTCCCGGGTTTGCTGCTGGTTCTTCCCGGGTTGGCTACTATCCCTTCCACCTCCGTGGAAGGGCAGTTCCCCCTGGCCACATTCCCCACTTCCGCAGGGGAGCGGCACACCGCCGGCCGGCTCTCTCGGGGGCTGCACAGGTGTTCCCTTAGATGTTCCCCTTAGATGTTCCCGGTGCATGTCGTCTCTCTCCTCCTTTATAGTCCTCCTCCGCCAATCCCAACTCGGCTGCCCACACGCCGAGTACGCTGCTCTCCAATCAGGAGCAAGTCCTACAGTTTATTGGTTGAACTGGAGGCAGCTGTGTAAAAGCTGTTTTCTTCTCTCCCAGCGCCATATTGTGGGAGAGCAGATGCATAGAATAAGTCTTAATTCCAGTAACTTAGTCTAGTCCGAGCTGCTCCCCACAATCCTGGTTAGAATGGTTCACATAAGAAATCAACTAACAACAGATGCTGACGAGGATATGGGGAAAAAGGGACACTAATCCACTGTTGGCGGGAATGCAAACTGGTAAAGCCATTATGGAAGTCAGTCTGGAGATTCCTCAGAAACCTGAATATAACCCCACCGTTCAACCCAGCCATCCCACTCCTTGGAATTTACCCAAAGGAAATTAAATTGGTAAACAAAAAAGCTGTCTGCACCTCAATGTTTATTGCAGCTCAATTCACAATAGCTAAGACCTGGAATCAACCTAAATGTCCATCAACAGTAGATTGGATAAAGAAATTATGGGATATGTACTCTATAGAATACTATACAGCAGTAAAACAAAATTGAAATCTGGTCATTTGCAACAAAATGGAGGAATCTGGAAAACATCATGCTGAGTGAAATAAGCCAGTCCCAAAGGGACAAATATCATGTTTTCCCTGATCGGTCACAACTAACTGAGCACTTAAAAGGAAATCTGTTGAAGTGAAATGGACAAATGAGAAACAATGATTTGATCAGCCCTTGTCCTGACTGTCGAGGAACAACTTACTATTTTATTCCTTTTAGTATCTTCTTGTTCTACTTAATACTATTGGTTGAACTCTTTAATTAACACACAATTATTCTTAGTCATTTAAATTTAACTGAAAAGTGATCCCTGTTAAATATAAGAGTGGGAATAGAGAGAGAGGAAATGTACAGTTCTGCACATGCTCACTCAGATTTACCCCTAATGGTAGAGCTAGAAACATACCAGGGGATTCCAATTCAATCCCATCAAGGTGGCATGTACCAATGCCATCTTACTTGTTAAAGTGATCAGTTTTTGACAGAATTAAAAAGGAGAGAACAATCCAACATGGGAAGCAGGATACACAGCAGACTCATAGAATGGCAGATGTCCTAAACAGCACTCTGGCCTCAGAACTAGCCCTTAAGGCATTTGGATCTGGCTAAAAAGCCCATGAGAGTATTTCAGGCATGGAAAGCCAAGACACTGTGCAAAAGAAAAAAATGACCTAAATGAAAGATCTCTGTGAGTGAGATCGCAGCAGAAAGAACGGGCCATCAAAGAAGGAGGTACCTACCTTTCTCTGAAGGGAGGAGAGAACTTCCACTTAGGCTATGGCCTTGTCTAAACAAGATCGGAGTTGGCGAACTCAAGAGGCTTCCATAGCCTTGGCAGCTCATGACAAGAGTCTCGGGTGACACATGGGAGACCAGGAGAAGCACCTGGCTCCTGGCTTTGGATCAGCGTGTTGCACCGGCCGTGGTGGCCATTGGAGGGTGAACCAACGGTAAAGGAAGACCTTTCTCTCTGTCTCTCTCTCTCACTTTCCACTCTGTCAAAAAAAAATTAAAAATAAGAGTCTTGGGTGATTACTGACATTATAAATAAGAATGTCAACTGTTAAGTCAACAACAGGAGTCACTATGCACTTACTCCCCATGTAGGAGCTCTGTCCTTCATGTGCTGTACTATGTGAATTAATGGTATAACTAGTACTCAAACAGTACTTTATACTTGTGTTTCTGTGTGGGTGCAAACTGTTGAAATCTTTACTTAATATATATTAAATTGATCTTCTGTATATAAAGATAATTGAAGATGAATCTTGATGAAGAATGGGATGGAAGAGGGAGTGGGAGTTGGGATGGTTGCAGGTGGGAGGGTGGTTATGGGGGATAAAGCCGCTATAATCAGAAAGTTGTACTTTGGAAATTTATATTTATTAAATAAAAGTTGAAAAGAAACTATGAATAAACATAAAATATTACATAAGTATCTATTACAAATAGATACATTACAGTGATTACATATTATACAATATATACATGGATCAAAACACCACACAAATATGTATAGTTTTATCTTTAAATATTTCACTGTTTAAAAATAGATAAATCTTTTAAAAATTAGAAACCAAAATTATATGAAGCTTTTCAAGCTTAAAATAATGAAATAGAAATAGAAACAATGAGATTTCATTTAATTTTTTCCAAACGGTTTTTAGTAATGCTCAGTTTTATAGAGGGTAAAAGATGTTTTCTCACATAATAATGCTTGACAGCATGTATAAGACATCTTAGGAATGTGTCTACTTTGATACAATAACTCCATGTCCAAGAATTTGACCTAAGGAAATTGTCATCAGTCTATTGAAAGTTTTAGATGCAGGAATATTCATATCAATGCAGTAATTGTAGTAAACAATGAAAAAAATGCCCAACATCACAGAATTAAATAATGGCACATTTCTTGAATGGAGTATGTTCAAATGATAGTAAATATAGAAGGGAAAATATCAAGATATTAAAACATAATAAGTCAAAAAATAAAAATTTTTGAAACTCATAACTCTATGTGGAACTGTCAATTTGAAATAAAGTCTTAAAATAAGGAGGCAAGAAAGCAATCTCAGTGATTGCCTAAGTCCATTCTGGTCTGCATGGCTCAATTAAAGCCCAACTTCTTGTTCTGTAACAATTTCTCCTTCTAAGGTAAGCTATTAAAAAGCATAGTAGTGAGGAAGAAATGACTGAGTACATTCAAATGACCTTGGGTTATTGATGACAGGAAGGCAAATTTATTGAGAATGCAGTTTGCATACTGTCCATCAAGACTTTCTGTGCACGGCTGATGTAAGAAACTAAATTGATCAATGGTGTTGAAATTAAAATAATCAATGGTATAGAATCCCAGAGGATAGTCACAGCTCTGTAACCATAGGTAATCTTTCACAAGGATGCCACTAGCTCATCTCCACAACTGATGCTTTAGCCGTAGGGGTCATCTAGAACTTCTCAAGGGCAATTCTAAACAATTACATATTGCATTTAAAGAAAGAGAGGTTTCTCTCATCTAATTCCTAATGGGAGTTTTCCATAGGAAACAGAATTGGGAAGGAAAGCTGACAGTATACATGATTGTCAACCTCTGCTACAAAAGTTGAAGAAGAAAATTACCATGGACTATGAAGCCAGAGATTTTCACATCTGAAATTCAGAATAGTTGAAGAGGTGTATGTGTTAACAAGACATAAAAGTCACAAAAAGTATACATTTGTTGACCATAAACACAGATACCAAATCCCAAAATACTATCAATGAGCCAGAAAGGAGGTAGCTCAGGAACTTTACTGAACACATGGAATTCATTTCCCCCAATAAATCGTATGAGACAAAATTGGAATAGTCCTAGAAGGGATTGTTTAGAGCTTTTTTGTCCATGAGTTTACCATAAAAAGAGAGTAGTGTCCATCCACAGAGACCATCACAGCGGGAAACAGCCAAGTTCCTCCAAGCATGTGTTCTTGTGTCACTGACAGTCACTCAGCAGACTCTATGGAATGCCACCACTGGTGTTTTTATCTGCCTTGGCACAGTGCCTGATACACAGTGGGTGCTCATGCATATTTGTTCAATGACAGCAGATTTAATCTGCCCCCTACAAATCATCATCAATTGTCATTCGGCTGTGTCACTGCTCTTACAGTGAGGAAAAACTGGAAGACAAAGTCCCTTACCAGAATTCTAATCCCCCAAACATAAAATATGGACCTCGTCCCCTTATAGAAACATTAAAAAGATTATTAGAGTCATTAAAATATTCTTGAATTTCTGAAGAAAAAATAATAGTAATGAAACACCAGGTAATTTTACTAAAAGAGGCACACAGAAGGTCTTCAATTAATGTCATCCATTAAATGTGTCTGCACTTTTAATTTAAAACTCCATTTTAAAGCATCTCATAGTATCCCACCTTCTCCTCCTCCACCTAACAATTGTTTAATAACAATGTATGTTGCGTACCAGTCACTTTTTCAAAAGGTATGTGACAATTATAAGTTGTAACTCAAGTTCTATCTTATCTTTGAAGAAATAAAATTTATTTATGGGACACTGAATTGCCCCTTCTTTTCTCCCTCCCATCTTTTCCTGTGTGGGAGACACCCAAGAACAGCCCTTGCAAGTGGTTCACAATGGACGGCCACCATGCCCAGGCTGCCAAAATCCATGAACAACACGAGGCAGATACCATGCTATAAAACACACTGACATGATGGCTTTAACAGACCTGCATGTAAAAAGTCTCAAGGAAGTTCTCTCCCACACAGCCCAGGGATCTTTGAAGCCTTTTCCTGAACCGTAAGGAATTTACCACATTTCTTCACTGGCCTTCTGGAACCCACGCTTGCAGTTACAGGGAATAAGAACCGAGACCTTCTAGAAGTCCCCTGCTGTCTCATCACATATCACTCCAAGAAGAATGCCAAAGGACACTGTATCCTAGGAATCCAAGCTTGCTGTCTGGGAACCATTCTGATCCCCTGCTGAGAAACACAGAGTCAAAGTCCTCACACTTCAACTCCGCACAGTGGATGAAACTAGCACGGCAAAGCAGAACATTCCCTTCCCAGAGTAACCAGATGCAGGGAGACAAAGAAACATAAAAAGTGGACACAAAAATAATACTTTCTAACAATAGTTCCCACAGAAAGTATTTTTTTATTTTTAAAAAGCTCAAATACACACACATAAATACCTAAATAACAGTACAAAAAATATTGGCATATTCCTTATCTCCAAGGGGACTTCAAAAAGTTCATGGAAAAGCAGAATGAGGGAGTGCAGTGGAGGATGGCCCAAGTGCTTGGGCCCTGCACCCCATGGGAGACCAGGATAAGTACCTGGCTCCTGCCATCGGATCAGCGTGGTGCGCCGGCCGCAGCGCGCCGGCCACGGCGGCCACTGGAGGGTAAACCAACGGCAAAAGGAAGACCTTTCTCTCTGTCTCTCTCCCACTGTCCACTCTGCCTGTCAAAAATAAAAAATAAAAAAAAAAGATAAGTTTCTATTATGACAAGAAAAAATTTGAAATCCATGCAATGAAGGGGGGTCTTCAAAAAGTTCAAGTGGTAGAGTTAGAAACATACCAGGGGATTCCAATTCAATCCCATCGAGGTGGCATGTACCAATGCCATCTCACTATTCCAAGTGATCAATTTCAGTTCACAATTGATCATAATGAAAGGACTAAGAGTCAAAGGGATCACATAAACAAGTCTAGTACCTGCTAACACTAACCAATAGAATAAATAAAGGGGAGAGTGATTCAACATGGGAAGTGAGATACTCAGCAGACTCATAGAATGGCAGATGTCCTAAATAGCACTCTGGCCTCAGAATCAGCCCTAAAGGCATTCCGATCTGGCTGAAAAGCCCATGAGAGTATTTCAGGCATGGAAAGCCAAGACACTCTGGCAAAAGATCTCTGTGAGTGAGATCCCAGTGGAAAGAACAGGTCTTCAAAGAAGGAGGTACCTTTCTCTGAAGGGAGGAGAGAACCTCCACTTTGACTATGACCTTGTCTAAACAAGATAAGAATCGGAGAACTCAGAGGGCTTCCATAGCCTTGGAAACTCATGACTGGAGCATAGAGAGACTACTGATGCCATAGACAGGAGTGTCAATTGGTAAAGTCAACAACAGGAGTCACTGTGCACTTATTCCTCATGTAGGATCTCTGTCCTTAATGTGCTGTGCATTGAGATTTAATGCTATAATGAGTACTCAAACAATATATTTCACTTTGTGTTTCTATGGGGGTGCAAACTGTTGAAATCTTTACTTAATGTATACTAAACTGATCCTCTGTAAAAAAAAAAAAAAAAAAAGAAAGAAAAAGAAAAGAAATTATCAACTCCCAACTTGACTCTCACTGGGATTAAACATGACAATAGGTCTGATCTGATTTCATCATCATTTAAAAAAAATCATCTATTATTTTTCACTTTATGTTTCTGTGTGGGAGCAAACTGTTGAAATCCTTACTTAATGTATACTAAGCTGATCTTCTGTATATTAAGATAATCGAAAATGAATCTTGATGTGAATGGAAGGGGAGAGGGAGTGGGAAAGGGGAGGGTTGTGGGTGGGAGGGACGGTATGGGGGGGAAGCCATTGTAATCCATAAATTGTACTTTGGAAATTTATATTCATTAAATAAAAGTTAAAAAAAAAAGAATTATTTCAAAAATTTTTCACCAAAATGAATTTATCTTTTCAACCCATTTTCCCACAAACCTTTTCATGGCCCATTCTACACCAACTCTTAACCAGTTTGATGTGTATGTCTCAGCTCTCTCTGTAAACACTGCTATGGTCTAAATGTTTCTGCCCCCCCCCCAATATGCATATGTTGAAATCCTATCCCCCAGGGCCGGCGCTGTGGCGCAGCAAGTTAAGTCCCTGACCTGAAGCGCCGTATGGGCACTGGTTCTAGTCCCGGCTGCTCCATTTCCAATCCAGCTCTCTGCCATGGCCTGGGAAAGCAGTAGAAGATGGCCCAGATCCTTGGGTCCCTGCACCCACATGAGAAACCTGGAAGAAGCTCCTGGCTCCTGGCTCCTGGCTCTGGATCAGCACAGTACCGGCCATTGCAGCCAACTGGGGAGTGAACCATCGGCTGAAAGACCTCTCTCTCTGTCTCTCTCTCTCTCTTCCTCTCCTCTCTCTGTGTAACTCTCTCAAGTACAAAATAAAATAAATCTTTAAAAAAAAATCCTAACCCCAATTTTAGGAGGTGGGGCCTTTGAGAGGTGATTAGCTCATGCAGTGCCGCTCTCATGAATGGAATTAGTGCTCTTATAAAAGAGGCGCCAGAGACACCCCGTGCCTTCCCACCGCGGGAGAACACCGGAAGAAGGTGCCATTGTGAATAAGGAAGTGGGCTGTCACCAGACACTGAATCTGCTGGAACCCTGGTCTTGGACTTCCTAGGCTTCAGACATTAAGAAATATATAAGCTGTTTGAAAAGCCACACAGTCTACTATACTAAGACAGGTACCTACGCTCACTTCCTCTGCTAAGCCATTGAGATCATGTCGTGCACCATGTAAGGCTTTGCCCTTGAGCATTTTAGCACTTAACTGTCATGAAGAGGAGCTGGCACTCACACTGCTCAACACCATTCCCAGGCCTTCAGGAGGAGTCTGGATAACAAGTTCCAAATCAGACTTAGCTGGAAAGAAAAAGAATGTAGAGTTACACAGCAGAGTGGGTGGCCACAGATCACAAGAGCCTACGATACATTTTATGAACAAATAGAAGAAAGAAGTTCCAAGCCTCCAATTATAAATTTGTGTCAAAGAAGTGTTGATTGCTCTAATTTAATCAGTATACAATATATATGAAATGTCACACTATAGTCTGTAAATAGTACAATTAGGAAAAATTAAAAACACATTTAAAATATATGTATATTTTAACTTAATGTTTTGCATTTAAATCATGCACCTCAACTAGACTTCCATATTCTAAAATTTCATTTTAGAACTAGATAGATTCTCCATTTTGCCTGTGAATCATGAAGCACAATTATAAAACCTCTGAGGACTTCCTAAAAAAGGTGCCCAGAAAGTTCAAGAAAAGTGTGCAGGACAAAAAACTATGCATGGGGACAAGCATTGTGGCACAGCAGCACAGCTGCCACCTGCACCAATAGTATTCCATATCAAAGTGTAGGTCTGAGTTCAGGCTGCTCCACTTTGAATCCAGCTTCCTGCTAATGCACCTAGGAAGACAGTGGAAAATGGCCCAAGCACTTGGGCCCCTGGCAGGAGCCAGGTGCTTCTCCTGGTCTCCCACACCCCACATGGGTGCAGGGCCCAAGCACTTGGGCCATCCTCCACTGCACTCCCAGGCCATAGGAGAGAGCTGGCCTGGAAGAGGGGCAACCGGGACAGAATCCGGCACCCCAACCAGGGCTAGAACCCGGTGTGCCGGCGCCACAGGAGGAGGATTAGCCTAGTGAGCCGTGGCGCCGGCCTCAGGTTCTTTCTTAGGCACTTGCCCAAAGAATTGTGTGTACACTAGAAAGACCGGTTCTCTTTCAAAACTGGCAGATGAAAATCTGCCCAACTGTTTTGTACATTTATCAAGAATTAAGGGAGCCTAATTTTGCTCGTGTGCCTTTCCACCTTTTAAATCTATCAGTGAATTTCATTCAAGTGGACCAACTGGTGATCAGAATCCACATCTGAAGGACTGACTCAGGACATCCTATTTCACATTATCTGAATCTGACAGCTTAAATATTAGGGATGGTGCTATAATCAGGATTTATTTAAATAGCCTATCAACCTATAAGAAAGACTTACAATCAAAGCACATTAAATCAAAAAATGTAAATGCTATATTTAAACATCTCTGAAAAGAGGAAGTCACTATCCATTCTGCTAGAATCAGCACTTTTTCTTCCAGTCAACTATGAAAGATGTACAAAAGTACCATGTGTGTTTTAATGAACACAGTAAATCAAGGTATTTTGTTTTTGACTAAGACTTTAGAAGTAAATGGCTTTGTAGATAGGGAAGTAGTTGCATTTGTAAGTAATAACTATATTCAAATAAATTACAAGAAATAATTTAATGACATCATCCAATATTGAAGCTATTCTCAAATTGCTCCATTTGTCCCCCAAATGTCTTTTATAGCTTTTTTTTAAAAAATTCAGGATTTAACCAATCCACATGTTACATTTGGATGTTGTATTTCTTTAGTCTTCCACTGTCACCCTCTGATGTTCATGACACTAAAACTTTGGCTGTACTGAAGCCACCTGGTCTACAGAATGTTCTACACTCTGAAATTCTTTGATGGTTTCCCCATGCTTAGATTTAGACGAAACATCTCTGGCGATGACTCCACCTAGGTGACACGGTGTCCTTCCAGCTGTGTAACACCTGGAGGCACCTAACGTTAGACCAACCAGTCACTGCTAGGCCTAAAGTACAACGCAAACTGCTAGATCTCTCTCCATAGAGACATGGCTTGTTCTACTGTAATAAGGAACATCGTGGGACGATACTTTGAAACTGTGTGAACATTCTGTTCCTCGACAATCTTGTACCCAATCATTTTAGATTTCAAAAATATTCCTCACTGAAATCAGTCATTGCACTGACAGGTTCATATAACAGAGTTTTATAAAAGGAATTTATTTACTTATTTATTTAATTAATTAAAAGATACTGTTACAGAGAGGGAGACACACACACATAAGAAAGAGAGAATCCTCCGTCCTCTGGTTCACGGCCCCAACGGCCATAACAGCCAGGCCTAGACACACTGAAGCCAGGAGTCGGGAACTCTATCTGATTCTCCCATATGGATGCAGGCGCCCAAGCACCTGAGCCATCTTTTGCTGCTTTCGCAGGCACACGAGTAGAGAGCTGGATCAGCAGTGGACCAGCAGCTGGGACTTGAACAGGAGCTCACAGAGGATGCAGGAGTCATAGTTGCTAGGCCACAACTCCAGTCCCATAACAGAGAATTTCTAATTCTATCATTCTTTCTGCATTTATTAGTGACATTCTACTTTAAGGAAAAGCTTATTTGCTCTCTTTCTCTTTCATTTTGTTATCATGGTATCAAGGAATTTTTGTATTTGCTGTATTTTATTAGTATATGGTTTTTGAAGTTTATATGGTTTTTGAAGCTCAAGTTGTCCCAACTGTGGTTAATATGAGTTTTATTTCAACATGTCCCCTTTATTCATAGGACATTTTCTTGGTTTCTAGATAATAGATACTCCAGGATAAACCAAAGCTTTTCCTCCCTCAGACAGGGATTCAGTCATTTCTCCAAGAAGCCCTAACTGATTTTAAGTGATTTCAGTAAATAATAGGCACTATATGTGCTCACATTTAGGAGGTAACTGATTTGAACTGAATGCACAAACCTCAGAATCTTTCTAAGCTGTCAAACAAATAAGGTGATTAAGAAATAAAATTAGGGGCCAGTGCTGTGGTATAGCGGGTAAAGCCGCCACCGAAAGTGCCGACATCCCATGTGGGCGCCAGTTCAAGTCCTGGCTGTTCCACTTCTGATCCAGTTCCCTGCTGATGTGCCTGGGAAAGCAGTGGAAGATGACCCCAAGCCTTGGGCCCCTGCATGTACACGGGAGAAGCAGCTCCTGGCTCCTAGCTTTGGGTCAGCCTGGCTCCAATCGTTGCAGCCATCTGGGAAGCGAACCAGCAGGTGGGGAGGACCAGGGTCTCTCCTTCCCTCTAACTCTGCCTTTCAAATAAATAAATAAATCTTTAGAGAAAGAAATAAAAATTAACAGTGAATTTCCACTGTATTTCCACTACTAATGTATATAACAATGCTCATATGTCTGATAATTTAAAACTACACAGGCCGGTGCCACGGCTCACTAGGCTAATCCTCCGCCTGCGGCACCAGCACCCTGGGGTTCTAGTCCTGGTTGGGGCGCCGGATTCTGTTCCAGTTGCACCTCTTCCAGGCCAGCTCTCTGCTATGGCCCGGGAAGGCAGTGGAGGATGGCCCAGGTGCTTGGGCCCTGCACCCACATGGGGTGTGGGAGACCAGGAGGAAGCACCTGGCTCCTGGCTTCAGATCAGTGGGGTGCGCCGGCCGCAGCGGCCATTGCAGGGTGAACCAACGGAAAAGGAAGACCTTTCTCTCTGTCTCTCTCTGACTCTGCCTGTCAAAAAATAAAAATAAAAAAGTACACATTATTTTTGTTGATAAAAAAAAATCAATAATATAAATCATCGCAATTTTAAGATATGGATACATATCGTGTGTATTCTACTTGGGTACTAACTTTATCATCTGGGTTATAT